CTCAACAGACATGGATGATGTACTGTATATTAGTTATACATTTGATTTGGCATGTTCAATGTGAAGTTGATTGTGTCCTCCATATTAGTATATATTTCATTTGCATAGACAAGACTTTTATTCCAATACCTTTGTTTTTTAGAATGTAGTTTTTTTTCTCATATGATTTTTGGTTACAGAAGCGAAACATTCTGTTTGAATTTATCTTCAGTACGGTGTATCATTATTGTAAATATTTCATTTTCTCCAGGAATGGCTGGAGGTAGCAGTTTCGTTTTTTTGTTTTTTTCACGCAGTGTTTTGGTACTTTTCTTTAATCAACGTGTGATTTAAAATGTAGGGTAAAAGCTAAACCATATTTTACATGTTATACAGTGCGAGATACCCAAATCTAAAGTAGCAGGACACGATCAACATCGCATTGAGCATGCCAAGTCAAATTATTTAATATACAGTACATCATCAATGTCTGTTGAGCATGCCAAGTCAAATTATTTGATATACAGTACATCATCAATGTCTGTTGAGTATGCCAAATGAAATATATACTAATATGGAGGACACAATCAACTTCACATTGAACATGCCAAATCAAATGTATAACTAATATACAGTACACCATCAATGTCTGTTGAGAATTTTCTTTACATTCCTCGTGTCGAAATATTCGTCTGAAACTCACTTACAGTTTAAACCTATATGTTGAATCGCACGCTTTACGAGTACCTTCTCTTTAAACTTAAAACTTTGTGCCAAAGTGTGGCAAACTATTTCATCTTTTGTTTCAAGCATTTTCGCGCATAATTTTGTTTTAATAGGATAGGGGAAAAGCAGCTACTCTTGTCTGTTCGAATAGAAGGATTTGACTCTCACTCTTACAGCCCACACAAATTCCTGAAGTCCTGAATACGTTTTAGAGTCAAAGGGGCTGCGGACCATGAATCCACAGATTCGCTATCCAATCACGCTAACTACAAGGCCATGTACGGGGCTTTGTTTTTTCTATGTATTAAGCTTAAACTACCGTCTTAGAATGGCATTATCTTGAACTATTATCTTGAACTATTATATTCGATGAACCAATATTTTCCAAAATCTTATAATCACGAGGATGTATGTTAATATGTAATTGCTGTAACAGAAAGTGTAACAGAAATGAATGCCTTGTTACCTCTAAATGTCCAAAATCTCAGACGGTACAAAGCCACATTTTCACACTTATTTGTTTGAGTTACCTTCGATGGGTCAGCGGTAAGCTTACGGACTTACAACGATAAAATTCAGGGTTCGATTCTTTGCGATGAATAGCGAGAATAAAGTTTTTGTATAGATTTTCGCTAAAACAAACAAACAAAAAATATATAAAAAAACAACTATTTGTGCTTGTTTCAGAGTTTACGCTCAAAGTTAAACGAAGTTTAGACACAGACTAAGGAGAAAACAGCTATAACAGTTTCCACCATCTATTTTTATTCTTTTTTTTTTTTTGCTTGACAGGATAATGAGATTTGACCTTCAATACTACAGTACAACTACGGTCCCAAAATGACCAGTTACTTTATAAATGTTTTGACTCGTGTGCTTAAACAACCTTCGTGAAAGGTTAAGTCGTGTATTCTCACTTCTGTACCATCGCCAGGAAACCCTACACATTATAATGGCTGCGGTAAAAACAATTCCAAAAACACTCAGTTTTCGATGATATAGGCTTAGTGCCTTACTTCTAAGTGAATAATTAACTATAATATATTTGTTCCACAAGGATAATGTGTGGTTATGTTTCAAGTTATCTAATCTAAGCCATCATTTTAGTTTTTCTCTGTTTTTTTATATATGATAAATCTAAAAATATATTTCATATGAATTATCAATACACTTTTCTACATTTCTATAAAGACCAATGAAAGTTGTTGCTGCCAACTTTTATGGGGTGATTGAAGCACACATGCAAAACTAGGTATCAGTTGTGTTGATTCTAGATAATTATGCACGTTCAGTTATGTCTTATATATTTTACTTTCCTGGCAAATAATCGATTATATTTTCTGGTGATATTTACCTATTTGATATCGTTATTGGTACTGATATTTTCAAGCTGATCAACACTTTATGTGCACATGCCAGGAACGGCCAGGTTAGAGATTCTTAGGGTTCGAACGGGCGTGGCTCAGTATTTATCAGACTTGATCTGTTGGTCCATTCTTCGTGATTCATTAACACCAACAAAATAAAATAATTGGCGTTCCGCACTTTAGAGCTATGGGTGTGTTATAATAGTGACGGTCAGATTTCACTATTCTACCAGACAAGAGTAGCCGAAGTGTTGAATTCTGCATTCCCTATAGTTTACAGGTTCAAAATTAGGGCCAACTAGAGCAAATATCCATTGAGTAGCTTTGAGCGAATGTTTGGAAAGAAGCAACCCCTCCCCCAGTATTTAGGCATAGCCGTCTCTAATTTTTCAACTAATGATCAGAGGGAAGACAGTCAGTCAGCAACACCTGCTGCCTCTCTAGCTTTGCCTGACTCTACATCGAACAACAGGAGTGACTGTCACTCTTGTAATGTACCTACAGTTTGTTCAGTGGCATCGTGAAAGAAATTTGGAACTTCCGTAACACAGCCTGATACGCTAACCACTAGGTTAAACCAGCCTCTGTTGGGCATCAAAATTAACAACAACCTCAGAAGACGTCAGTGCTATTCCTGTGCAAGCATAACAATTTTATTAATATATACAACTAAACGTTTCAGTACCTTTCGACAAGGTTTCTGGCTGATTTCGAATGAGGCCTTAAAGGCCCTTCTTTGGGCCGTGGTCAGGATGGTCCTAGGCCGTTTGGGACCTCGTCGTCCATCTTGACGCTGCTGTCCGTTTTGATGCTGCTCTTGAAGCTGGGCGGTTTCATCTATGTATAAACAGGTTTTGTGAGACCTTAAAAAAGAATGAAACTACAAATATCACAAGAAATCATTTCTTTGAAAAGATCTACGACCTAATCTACAAGGTTTGAATCGAACTGTAACACTTTTGATGGCTACGGTCTCACTTGTGACCTATGTTACTTTCTCGTGAACTTAAACCTTACCTAAGTGATTAAAATCAGAATAGGTCTTTGCACAACCCTGTAATTCATGATGGCATTTGTGGTCTAGTCATATTGTATGTCCTCAAACCACTATTATGAAAAAGAGAGGTTAAGTTTGCCCTTTACGTGTGACCCTTATAGCCTCTCTTGTAGAAAAGGTCAGTGTGGTTTATGGCTCGAGATAACGGATGAGCTAGTATCTCACCCGTTTCGTTTGACCTTACAACCTCTCTTATAGGAAAGGTCAGTTTATAAAATTGTCGAGTTAATGGATGAGCTAGTATCTCACCCGTTTCGTTTGACCTTACAACCTCTCTTATAGGAAAGGTCAGTATATAAAATTGTCGAGTTAATGGATGAGCTAGTATCTCACCCTTTTCGTTTGACCTTACAATCTTTCTTATAGAAAAGATCAGTATATAAAATTGTCGAGTTAATCGATGAGCTAGTATCTTACCCTTTTTGTTTGACCTTACAACCTCTCTTATAGAAAGGTGAATGGTTAAAATTTCACAAGTTAATGGATGAGCTAATTCGCACTTTTTCTTTCTTTTGTGTGACCTTATAACTTCTCTCTCTTACAAAAGGTACATTACTGACAACATGCTGTAAAGTATTATTGTTATCAGCTCCACTACTAATAACATGCTGTAAAGGATCATTGTTCATTGTTACCAGCTCCATTACTGACAACATGCTGTAAACTGTAAAGTATTACTATTACCAGCTCCACTACTGGCAACACGCTCTAAAGTATTACTGTTATCAGCTCCACTACTAAAAACATGTTCTAAAGGTTCATTGTTACCAGCTTCATTACTGAAAACATGCTGTTAAGGATCAATGTTATCAGCTCCACTACTAATAACATGCTATAAAGGGTCACTGTTATCAGTTCCATTGCTGACAACATGCTGTAAAGGATCAATGTTATCAGCTCCACTACTAACAACATGGTGTAAAGGGTCATTGTTATCAGTTCCATTGCTGACAACATGCTGTAAAGCAGACAATGTTACCAGCTTCACATTTCAGAAACTTTTACACGCGTTTAGGTTTAGACTTCTTTGTTAATCATATTTGTGAATATTTCAAAATGGTGTTCTTGTATTCAATAACTTAAATAAAATAACCCATTAAATGCATAACAAAGATTTGATTACTTATATTTTAATTGTATAACAAAAATAAAAATAAAACAACCACCTGAAGCCAATATACTGAAAATAATAAGAAATCGTCATAAAGTCTTCAAACACCGAATTAAATATTAACGAAGAAACTACATTTCTAAAGATTTTAACACTAATTAGATTTTAAAATATATTTCTGAGACTCACTTTTAGCGGGTCAACCAAATAGTATGCCAGTATTGACCCACGTGTTTGTTAAGAATGTCCTCCAATGATCGAAAATGCTTGTAAGAAATCAATTTTTACACAAAACGTAAATAATTCCAGAAAGGTCTATGTAGAAACATGATATACATAATAAGTTTTCTTATTATAGTAAACAATTAAACCTGAAGCTTACTTCTCTGTACAAGTTGAATCATTGCTATTTCTTTTTCGAAGTCTGGCCTACAATAAAGTCGACCATTTCTGATGACAAACTGGTCACCTTTCTGTAACTGACGTCCACAGCCAACACATGTGAAACAGGAGATGTGGTATACGTAGTCCAGGGCCCGCATCACAAGCTCGCTAGGTGCTATCGGTTGTAAACATCCAGTGCATTTTGCTGCAAACAATCTGCAAGAGAGAGAGAGAGAAAAAAAAAGGAAATGTTAAAAACTTTCAATTCAAAGAATTATGCTAAATAACACATCGCAATGAAAACGAAAACCAAGAATTAGATCTCATAAGAAGTTTAAAAACTTAGTAAAATAAAAAATTGCACAACAAAGTGAATGGAAACGTTGCTAGTTAAAGGGCAAACTTCTAATTTCTAGTTTAGAGAATTAATTTGCTATTCGACTGACGATTTTTACGTCTCGCAACGTAATAAGATAAATCTACAAAAATGCCTATTTTATTAAGCTCTGTATCGCTTCGCTCGGCAGAGCTTACTATAAAAATTAGGCCATTTAAGTTCTTCTTATATACGCTATACACATTAAAAAACACCGCTCCGGCAACTATAAAATATTAAGAAAACTTTCTGTCCGTCTGTGAACGCATCTCCTCCTAACCAAGTTGGCCGATCCAGACCAAACTTGGTATGCTAACTTAGTAGTCCAATAGCAAATCAAATTCGTTTCCAGCTTTTCCATATATTGAAAAATAAAAGTATTTCATACAATAACCTTTTTATTTTTATTGCAGTAACCATTGTAAATAATTGAGTTTGATTAAAACTCACACCACAACAAAATTCTACAAGTCATATATTGTAAATAAAATCTGAAGCATTTTGGCTTGTTTCCCATAATAACCAAAACATACAGTGATAAAATATCCAGCTACAATGTGGAGGAAAAATATATTGCTGCTGTTTAATTTTCACGCTCTTTCCTGATTCACACCATTTAACTTCTGGTTTATAATAGGGTTGGAATAAGTGCATAAGCCTGAATTAGAGAAGTATTTCACAATTAAAATATGTTTTAAGACATTTCTCACTTCTTGAAGTAGAATACAGTTTTCCGTAGAAGCAAAATTCAAGATTTTTATTAAATTTCATACATTAAATGTACCAAATTCAGATAGTAGAAATCTTGACCACATCTCTACTGTGAAATTGGTTGATTTGAACAAAAAGTGACGTGACTGCTTTGCCATTTCTTCGAAGTTTCTCGACTCGACTACTACACCCCCTCACTTCCGATCCAATCCCCGTGTCTTACAACAATTTTTTGGAGAATCAAAGCTACTGAAAATCCTCGCACAGATTTTGTTCATTTTTGCACATGTGTGCGTGTTTTCCGCGTTTTCAAGAGAAAAAAAAAAGACGGAGAAGTGAAGTCTACAAAAAAAAGTACCTGTAAAACTTTTAAGATAAGACATTTAAAGTACATTACAAGAGCTTTAAAAAAGAAACCAATTATGGACTGAGAGTTCACTGTTACTTGTAGACTTTCACCAGATCTGTCGGGCTTTCACCCAGTGGCACAGCGGTATGTCTGCGGCTTTACAATGCTAGAAACCGGGTTTCGATACCCGTGGCGGGCAGAGCACAGGTAGCCCTTTGTGTAGATTTGTGCTTAACTACCAACAAACAAACAAAGCTGGATGTACAATTTGCCACCCAAAAAATTAGTCAAATTGTATATTTACTTAATTTCTAGTTGTAGAATTAGTAGATTTTATTTGTTAATTACAACTGTTTCTAATCAAAAAGAAGTCAACAAGCAGGAATTTTAAGCCAATTTTAGAAACGTTAGACTCATTCTTACAGAGTAACAACTTTCTATTCTTTCAATACATAACATAAGAAATAAAATTATACTTTTTTTTATAATTACGTTGCTAGGTGGCAGGATTGTTCAAGTTAAGTCGCTTGGTAAGAAGCTTGGTTTTATGTCTAAAAGCAGCACGTCAATAAGTTGCTAAGTGTCAGATTTAGTGTTTCAAAGGTAAAAATATACTGCGCATGTCAAAAACAATATCAGCTAGTAAGATATGGACATTCAGAGGTAACAAGATTTTCACTAGTAAGATATGGACATTCAGATGTAACAAGACATTCACTAGTAAGATATGGACATTCAGATGTAACAAGACATTCATAATCTTAAATGTTTCCATTACGATGTTTTACACTTACGTACGGAGGCGTCAATAGGCACTGGCACACGGGACCCGTGCCCCAGTTCTATTTGACATTACCCCGAATCCCCAGTTGGTATCTTGAATAATTAGAATAAAAAAAACATGATCGATATCATACTGAAACGCCGAAGATTCCCGCGCAATAAAGATCTATATCAGTGTCCACAACAGTGGAAATTGGAAAGAGTAGCGGACTTTGATTAACACACTTTTGCTTTGGGCCAGTTACACCCACCTGTTATAAACAAAATTGAATAGCAAAACATGAACTTCACTTTCACTAAATTCATTAAAATTACGAAACTAAAAAAACGATTAGTTTTCAAATCTGGTAAATATTAATGAGCATTATTACTCACTGTGACTTTGGCTCAAAAATTTATTGAAAACGTTGTATGCGAGAAACAATATTTGAAAGAAAATGTATATTCTAAATCTTTTTACACGTGTATATTGATAATAGATAATATTTTATTAACATGACATCATAGATAATATTTTATTAACGTGACATCGTAGATGATATTCTATTAACGTGACATCGTAGATGATATTTTATTAACATGACAGTCTTTTTTCAGTATACTTTTGCTTTTTGTAGAGATACTCTGAAAAAACACGTTGTGTTATAAGGTAACAGTACATATGGTAGTAAAAGCTGTGTATAAGGTAACAGTACATATGGTAGTAAAAAGCTGTGCATAAGGTAACAGTGTTTGTTTGTAATTAAGCACAAAGCTGCACAACAGGCTAGCTGTTCTCTGTCCACCACGGGTATCGAAACCTGGATTCTAGCCTTGTAAGTCCGCAGACATACCGCTGTGCCACTGGGGGGCTATGGCAATATAATTGTGTTTCTTGATAGTTGGAAGACTATGTTAGAACAGCTTTTAAATTTTGTATTTTACGCTCATACTGCTTGAACTGGTTTTAGTAACGAGATTTTAACCCTTAATTTGCAATAAAGGAATCTTGTAAAGATATCGCTACAGTTTAATGATAGGATATTGAATTAAAAAAGTACAGGTCTATATTTTATAATTGTCTACTGTAATGGTTATCTGCTGCTAGTGACATGCTTCATACTTTTTGTACAGTTATTATGAAAAATGAGTTTTGTTCACATTATGGAGAACTTTTACTGGTAAATATTGCTGTAACTTAAAACATATACTGTGTATATGTGTTAATACCTTCCTACTACTGGTTGGTATTAAAGGAAACGTAACTGAATATAGTCGTTGTTGATTACACAGAAATACACAGACACTAAACACTAAGTTATCTATATGATATGACATGTTAGATTGTACTGGTTGGTAGTAAGGGAAACGTAACTGAATATAGTCGTTGTTGATTACACAGAAATACACAGACACTAAACACTAAGTTATCTATATGATATGGCATGTTAGATTGTACTGGTTGGTATTAAAGGAAACGTAACTGAATATAGTCGTTGTTGATTACACAGAAATACACAGACACTAAACACTAAGTTATTTATATGATATGACATGTTAGATTGTACTGGTTGGTATTAAAGGAAACGTAACTGAATATAGTCGTTGTTGATTACACAGTAATACACAGACACTAAATACTAAGTTATCTATATGATATGGCATGTTAGATTGTACTGGGATATTTTATTAACATGACATCATAGATAATATTTTATTAACGTGACACCATATATGGTATTTTATTAACATGATATCATAGGTAATATTTTATTAACGTGACACCATAGATGGTATTTTATTAACATGATATCATAGGTAATATTTTATTAACATGACAGTCTTTTTTTACAGTATACTTTTGCTTTTTGTAGAGATACGCTGAAAAAACACGTTGTGTTATAAGGTAACAGTACATATGATAGTAAAAGCTGTGTATAAGGTAACAGTACATAAGGGAGTAAAAACTGTGTATAAGGTAACAGTACATATGGTAGAAAAATATTGTTATAAAGTAATAGTACATATGGTAGTAAAAGCTGTGTATAAGGTAACAGTACATGTGGTAGTAAAAGTTGTGTATAAGGTAACGGTACATATGGTAGTAAAAAGCTGTTTATAAAGTAACAGTACATATGGTAGTAAAAAGCTGTGTATAAGGTAACAGTACATATGGTAGTAAAAGCTGTGTATAAGGTAACAGTACATATGATAGTAAAAAGCTGTGTATAAGGTAACAGTACATATGGTAGAAAAAACATTGTTATAAGGTAACAGCACATTTAGTAGAAAAAATATTGTAACAAGGTAACAATACACGTTGTAGTAAAAAGCTGTGTTATAAGGTAACAGTACGATGTGGTATAAAAAAGTTGTGTTATAAATATATAGGTCAGCTATCTCTCTAGAATGTCGATACAACATCTTATTAATTTCTAATCGGTCTTTTCTTTACACAATCAACTGAATAATATAGCAGTTATCATCCGAAATGGCTTATTTTGTTATTCTACTGATAATCTAAATCTATCCACTCTAAATTCATGTTGTTTTTTAAAGGCAAACATTTTCTTTATGGTCCACTGTTGATTCAGTCTGAATGTTATTAAACAGAAAAGTGTCTGAGAAGTTTACACAGTTTTATTCAACACGAAAGACTTATTTTCGATACCCATAAGCAACCAAAATTGCATCATAAAACTTCAAATATAAAATGATTTTCGAGAAAATTACCTTTGCCCGTTGATTTTGGAACCAGACCTGCACAATGCGCACACTCAGACCGGTTTCTTTGGCAAGTGATTCTCGAACCTAACGTGAATACACATAAACAAATAAGTCACGTGAATACATATAAGCAACTAAGTCACGCGAATACACATAGAAACAAATAAATAACCTTAATACATAAACAAATAAGTCACGTGAATACAAGTAGAAAAAAAAATCACGTGAATACATATAAGCAACTAAGTCACGTGAATACGCAGAGAAACAAATAAATAACGCTTTATAGCC